CCGAAATTCAGACAAGCTCTACACGGACCTTCTTACTTGGGTCCAGTAGCAGTCAGTGAGGTATTGGAAGCAGGGTGGTGTTGCTCACCTGCCTTCCAGACATCAGACATCAATGCTGGTCCCTAAGAAGGAGAGGGGAGTTGTTGGGGGAGAGGGAAACAAGGGAAGAAGCACTGCATTGACTCCATCACTAGGCTCACAGCACTATGAGCTCCCTGTGCATCTCCCCTCTCCTTTTCAGGAACTGGCGCTGATACTCAGTGCTGAGAAGGCAGGTGAGCCGCCCCACCCTGTCTGCGTCACCCCACGGACCACAACTATCTTTATTCAGATGAAGCAGATAGGTGAGAATCCTTTTGATACGGCTGGCAAAGGAATCACACAACTGGGGGACACATGGGCACTGCTACATTTGGCAGCAGGGGAGTTGGGGAAAGACCACAATTTTGGGGGGATGACGACTAGGAGTGGTCATTTCATAGGTTCTTTTCCATGTCCTTGCTAATAACCATTTGCTCACCCCTCCTACCTTGCACATCTCTGTGATGTAGTGGAAGTAGGATAATGCTCACAACTGCAGCTACAAAAATGAAGTGCGGTCCAGGTGACTATGGATAAATTAGCAAAAAGAGCACAAGAAATCTAGCAATTGCTTTCTGAAGGACTATACCAAGCCCTAGGCCACTGTGTTGACATGAAAGGATGACTCATTTCCTAGTGCTAAAACCAGGGCCTCAACATTTGATAATGTAAGATGGTTCCTTAGTAAGATTGAGTCGTCACGGTAGGGGTATTATGAGCCAACGCTGGTTGATTCTGAAAACTTTTACCCATGAAAATTAAAATAAATCAGTTCATACTATGACCTCAGCCTCCTACTTACCATAGAATATGCTTTCTTAACTCTGAAATTGTCCTTGGTAATAGGCTTATGTCAAACTTGCCACGATGTCCTTAATATATCCAATCTTTTAAAAAAATAAAAACTCTGCACATTGCAAATCAATACTTATGCAGTTTCCTCCACTGGGATCTGAAAAGTACCCTCTGTGCAGCTATCTTCCCAACAAGAGCATAAGAGATTACTAGCACTTTTAACATACCAAGAATCTCTGCAGCCTGTTTTACCATTTCAAAAGTACCCTACTGGCTATTTTGCACAGATCACTGGCATTTTATTGTAATCTTCCAGAAAGATGCAGGTTTTTTAAAGTGTTTAATCCTTGGAAAGAAAAGCCATAATAGCTGATGCTTATCAGTCTAAAGGATTATAATAATAATAATAAAAATAACATGCCAAACTGGGTGTGTTTGCATACCAGCAAGAGCCACTTGTTATCTCTACACAATGGCTAATGCCTGAGATCATTTCCTGCATTTAAACAAAATACTGAACAGTTATGTATCTCTAATGCAAGATATAGAGACAACCCCCTGATTTGCACTGGGATTGCATTCTGAGTCATTGCGCGCTTGTGTGAAATTGTGCGAAATTGAAACACCCCATTCTGCCCCTGCTCTGGCCCATTCTACCCCAGCTGCGCCCCACTCTGCCCCATTCCACCCTTTTAATGGCCATCTTTGATGACGTTTCAGGGTCACTTCCGGGTTTGGTGCTGTGTGCGTATGCACAATCATGCACATATTGGTTGTGCCTAAAATGGGGGTTACCAGTATATGCACTCCTCGAGTGGATTTTTCACCCCAAGGGCCACATTCCCTTCTGAGCAAACTTCTGAGGGCCACATGGCAATGGTGTGTGGAGCCAGAAGCAAAAATGGGTGGTGCAAGGGATTCAAATTTTATCTTTGTACATTAAGCTAGTGTCTATGTGTACTCTCTCACACACACACCCTCCCTATCCTATAGCTGGAGAAGCAAGTTTATCAGCATTCAAGGACAACGTTCTAGCTCAGCAAATACACTTGCAGTGAGAAGCAGAATCAATGAGGGGTGTAGACTGGAGAGATGCGGTTGTGATCTGGGGAAAGACCCAAGGGCCAGATAAAAAGGCCTGAAGGGGTGCATTTAGCCTACTGGCCTGATGTTCCTCCCCCACGTTCCCATATTTCCCAACCAATTTTGGCACTGAAAAACAAGAAAAAAACTTTGACGTAGACACAGTGCTGGACTGCCCATCCCAGAGCGCTGATGAAAATGCAGCTTGTCCCCTCAAGACACATTAGAAGTAGAAGGAGGGGCAATAACCTAGGGTTGCCATACGTCCAGGATTTCCCCAACTTCAGTGGGATTTGCACGCCCCCAAAAAAGAACAACAACTCAACAGCTTTCCTATCCGGATTTTCATTTTTTGAAATATGGCAACCGTAAATAACCCCCCTGCTCAGCTGATCTGCTTTTGTGCCTGTATGTGTCCTGTGTCCTGCACATATGTTTGCCCTCTCTTTGTGCGTGTCCTGTTTGCGACTCTTGTGTATGCAGTGGGTAAATACAACCCACAGATCTACAATTGTTAAGAGTTACCTGGGAAGAGGGATTGACCACAAAACCACTTTGGGAATTGTACCTCCTTGAGGAGAATAGGGAAATCTCCCAACAGATTTCAGTTAGCACCCTTAACAGTTCCCAGGATTCTTTGGGGGAAAGCCATGACTGTTTAAAATGGTGCAAGTACTGCTTTAAACGTATCATGCAGATGGGGCTAGAATGTAGCATTTTTGTCCCAAACAATTGCAGTGTTAGCTAACAAGCAAAATAATCAGGGTGACCCTACCGTTGGGTTGAATGTGGTATCTGCCTCAGGAGGCAGATGCAGGGGGGAGGCTTTCACTGCTATTGTAGGGCAAACAACTGCGAGACAAACTATGCATGAGTGTTTGGTTCCACACGCACACCCTCACAGACACTGCTGTTCTTTTGAATAATTCTCATCGTTATTCTGACTTCTAATAAAATGAGGCTGTCACCTATTATTTGATTTCACCGATCCCAGGCTGTTTGCTATCCCTGCCTAGTGCCGGATGCCCATTTCTGCTGATCTACTTCAGCATCCAGATATCCTACCAAGTCAGCCACAGGTAATTGGATTCCTCACTGTGAAGTACAGCAGAGGCTGTGCAGGAGGGGAGGGGATCAACAAGGGAAAAGAGAGGCAGTTAAAGCTGTTTTCCCCTTAATGCTGCTCTAAAAAGGCGAAATGACATGACTTGGAGACAGGTAAAGTGCAGCTCAAATTTTAATCTGAATCTCATTTCCCTCCGACTCTGGAAGGTGTTTAGCTCATTCTTGTGGAACAACACGTTTTCCCCCAAGGGTAAAAGTAGACACCTGGCAGAGGGCATGTTCCGAAAGTCATTTACATGCGAGTAAGGGAAACACTGGCACTTTTTGCTGACATCTACTCTGCACCATCTGCTGATGGGTAAGCACCGGTCACTTGGCTCATTGCAGAAAAGATTCATCATGATCTAATTTCCACAAGGAGCTTCCACACAGCATCAACACAATGGACTTCATGAGCTGACATATTTTTGAATGAGTATATCAAAGTACTGCAGCTTCTCACTGAGCTTGTTTCTCGGTGCAGATGATGGCAAAGTTATCCTGAGGTATGTTGGGATATGAACCATGAACACTCTAGTAGCCCACCACATGAAGAACTGGAGGCTTTGTTGACATCTACTCTGCACCATCTGCTGATACATAACTGATCCCTTGACCCATTCCAGAAAATGGGTCCCTTATTACCCAATTTCCACCAAGAACTTCTCAAAAGTTTTGTTGCCTCTATGTGATTGAAGAAATGAACCCCTTCTCAGCAGAGAAGCTGGCCAGTTCCCCTGAGGTACACTTAGATATGAAAGGCAAAACTTCTAAAAGCCCACCTCAAGGAGTTTTGTGGGGGTTTTCCATCTCTCCTGTCCCACCTCCACCGCCAGGGGCCTTGTAAGCGGGAGATGCTCCCAAAGGGTTTACTCCTGCTTTCTCTTGGCATTTTTATGGGGGTTGCCCTTTGCCTTTTGAAAGGAACATGAATGTGTTGTTGTTGTTTTTAGTCTTTTTAAAACAATTGGGACTTAATTGTCTTCAATTTCTGTAAGTTCTATTTTTTTACTTGGATTTTGTATTGTCTGTGAACAGTAAATCTTCTCCAGCTTGGACCAAAATCTGATCCGTAGAAGAATCCCTGGCTTCCCATTTACCTACACGGATACCGCATCCCTGCAGCAATATGCTGCCCTTCTGTTCCTTGTCAAATGGTCATTGGAGGAGCAGACATCATAGACACATAGAGAGAAGATACAAGGATGGCTTGTTCCCTAGTCGAAAGTTGGAAAGCCACAGGAGATGTATTTTTTCCTGAAAGCTGATGCTTTGGGGTGTATGTTCAGCTGACTTTGGGGACTTTTGAAGACAGCAAGATTTGCTGGAGCTAAGTAGGAACATTTTTCTGAGCTCTCAAATTGGCTTAGAGTGTTTCGGTGTTAAACTGAAAAGAATACTGCAGATCACACCCCTCTCTACTTTTTAGAAGTCCACGTAGCACACTATGTGGTTAATGCTGGTCTGGAATTGTTTCTCCCCAAAATTGCCCTCTGGAAAACAGGGTGTAGTTTTTAGCTGCTTTATAGGGTGGAGGGAGAGAAATTTCATTGAATTTTTGGTAGTAGGAAGTTTCAAGTTATCTTTCTCAAACCTACATGGTGGTCAAGGGATTTAAAGGACTCCCCCCTCCCCCATTGCTTTAAGTTTAAAAGAAGACCTTTCCATAACGTCTCTCTTTGTTGGTGAACTTGATGGGACACCATGGGAGTCACACAATGCAACCCATGGTGTTTCAGTATGTGTGGTCAATGGGGAAGCTAACGAGACAGCCTCTTGCACAGCTTTCTGCCACACCTCCAGGTACACTCCAGGTACAGTGCAATGTGATAACATTGCACTGAAATACAAAAAGGACTCAATCTCTTTCCCCATGTGTTTAGATGAAGTGGAAATACATGGGGGGTGGACCCTGTAGTAGACTGCATAAGCTGCACAAACCACGTAGCTCAGTGATAGACCATCTGCTTTGCATGCAGAAGGTCCCAGGTATGATCTCTGGTGTCTTCAGGTAGGATAGGGGAAACTCCTTTCCTGAAACCCTGGAGAGTTACTGCCCATCAGTGTGGACAACACTGAATTAGATAGACCAACAGTATGACTCCGTAAAAGGCAGCCTCCTGTGTCCCTGCATAATATTTGGAAATTTAAAGAAGTAACAACTGAGGATTAATAATCTGTCATTTCCAGTTTGGAAACAAAACCAGGTAATTTGGAATGCTCCAATTCAGGGAGACATCCAGACGAGGAGAGTGTTGGCGCAGTTAAGGGAGACGGTTCCAGTGTAGCATTAAATGTTGTCCTGATATTCTTTGGAACTTCGTAGTGGATGTTTTAAAACCTAGCTGAATAGTAATTCAGTTCATATGGTTAATTTTTTATCCCTCAATCAAGAATTCATGGAGGTTATTGTGACATTGCTGTAAGTATCTGAAGAGCCCAGGCCTGTAAATAATGGATGGGACAATAGGAGTGCCAAGCAGACTATTTCCCTGCTTGGGGAAACTCAAATTGTGTCTGTGTGAGCATGCAAACAGGTAAACAAGAGTGAACAGTAATTCCCCTTGCTTCATAAAAAATAAAATGTGTTACGAAGACAAGTGTAGCCTTGGTAATTATAAAGTGCTAATCTAAAGATAGTTAGAAATGTTTTACCACCACTAGTTTGCAATTATGGTTCTCATTTTTTAAAAGACGAAATAGTCCTTCCGAGTGCCGCCAGCAGTGAAATGTTGCAGCGCGGAGTGTTGCTGCTTACTGTCTCAGTCAGCCAGTCATGCAGCAAGGGAGGCAGGGAAGGGATGCTACAAACATCTGTCCACTGAGCAAACTGTACATTAACAAATGACTTCTCTGCAAGGTGATGATGGGGACAACTTGAATACCTAGTGGCAGTCAGGTTTCTGTTAAAAAATAAGGCTTTGTGCTTTGGTGGCAGGAGCAGAGCAGGGACTGACTGGGATCACTCAGGACACAGTGATTGGATAAGCATCAACTACAACAATTCATTGGCTACAGCTTCACAGAAGCATGGTGAGATGACAAGGATCCTACATCGGACAACCTGAGAGCCAGGTCACATTGAGAAGAAAGGCTGGGAAGTGGGAAATCTTTTTCAGCCTGAGGGCTGCATTGCTTGTTGTGCAACTTTCTGGGAGCCACATACCAGTGGTGGGCTGGGCCAGAGGCAAACGTGGGAGGAGCAACAGATGTGACTCTTCTCTTTGTAGGGTAAGATACATTCCAGCCATTCAAAAGTCAGTGGTTTCTGCACACATATCGTTTCATCCTAGGCAAACAAGGGCCGTGATCAAGGGCACATTCCAGCCAGCAGAAAAAGCATTCAAGGAGGGCACAGATTCCCATTCAGACCATATACAAAAGTCGCACTGTCCAATTGCCACACTATAGATCTAACTTGCTCAACCAGTCATTTCTTGTTCCCAGGGATCCCTGCAAATTCATCGTTCCATGATGGCAAGTATAATGATTTCTAGCAGAGAACTCTCGCCATCTCAGCACAGTACAACACCATGACAGACACAGGAGCCAACTCCTAGGGACCGTGGGGGCTTTGGCCCCCCCCCAATAAAATACTAGAGTGGGCCCCCACAGTGTTGATGGACATTCCCATTCAGTGTGTGCACTGTGTCTTGTGACTGATTATGCAGGGTGGGGCTTACCTGGGTCTCCACAATATTTTATTCAAGTTGGCACCCCTGTCACAGCTGGCATTACCATTAAGACCAGTAAGGCAACCACCTCAGGCAGCAAATACTGGAGGGTATCAGGGGCCACCCCCTCCAGCTGTTTGCCAGCATTGAAGTAAGATTCAGCTGCCAAGCTTCTGCATATGGAAAGTGGAGAGAGAAGCATTAACTTGTCATCAGGGAGCAAAATACCTTGGACCATCCCTGTACAGTGTACCAATAGTACACTATAAATAACAACACGCACATTAAATTAAACAAGATGAAAGACACAGCACCTAGTCACCCCTAATGACAGACAGCAGAATAAATCCAAATTGTAGATTTGCGGTGTAGAAAGGATTTCTCTGACCATCTATATTCAGAACACTATGCCATGAAGCTCATGATACTATCTAATTATTCTGAGATAGCTTGAAAGTTTCAACTGATGCACTTGCCCAAATGGGATTTTTTTTTTATTTTGATTGTCTTTTGTCCAGCCACAGGTTATCAGGCATATTTGTAGAGAAGAGTTCTACCCTCCCCTTCCCCCTTTTGTGCTTTAATGCTGCATATTACATTATCTGGTCAGGTTGTATTTCCAACCGAAATTAACTTGCAATGCAATTTACTTTGTTACAGGGAAAGAATGGCAGCCTTCTTGCAGATGCTTGCATTTCTCTTTTTCAAGGAAAAAAGTTAATTAGGTTATTTAATTGCAATTCTACCTAGTGAACAAACACCCATCCAACTGGTTCTTATACAAAAGTAGAGCTATCAATTTGGATTTTGGGGGTTTTATCCAACTTAGTTATACTCAGAGTAAACCCACTGAAATTAATGCACTTACAATTAGCCACCTCCATTAAATTCAAGAAATCTACTCTGAACAGGTCTAATGTCGGATATAATCTGTTGGGGATACCTGAAAGATCCCCCCCATCCTTCTCTGGACCATGCCCATTTTGTATATATTCATAACTCTATTCTGTCCCATTTCTGCATTAATGTACTTAAAACTAAAAGCTGCACCATCTGTGTATAAATTTGTATCTACATATGTATTTTGTATGCTTTTTTATTTTTTTACAAAAACATACATTTATAGAATGGTTTTATTTAAATTTAAATAACTCAATTTGTTTCACCCTAAAATATACAATATAAAATTTTATTTGGGCCAAGTCTGTATCTGCATTGGATCTGAAATAGTTTCATATATCAACTTGTTTTTAATTGTTTGTATGCACAACATTGTTTTCAAATATTTTTCTTGATAATTTTTGTTTGATTTTGTTTTTACTGTGAAATCAGTTCAAAATATTTTCTGGGAAGCAATTCATTAATGGAATCAAATAAATGAATAGATGGCAAAATTTAGACAAGTACAAAACCCTGATCCACAGCTCCTGGACTTTAGTCTAGAAAGTTCAGATCAAGACATGGCAATTCAGAAAGATTGAATTCTTCAGGTATCCCCACATGAACCCTTTTCTTTTCTCTCCTTTAAATTCCTCAGCTGTTCCACATGCAGAGAAACCACCAAAGATAATGTGAATATAAGTTTGGGCAACATATTGCTGGAAACCTACAGAAATAAACAACCCATTGAAAATGTTGACAAAATTCGTAAACAACAACGCCAACAAAAATATGGGGGAATTGTAAAACTTGAGAGGAGTTGCTAGAAATTAAATATATGCCTCCAATTCCATAAAAAATTAATATATGCCCCCAATTCCTCTCTCTCTCTCTCTCTCTCTGTGTGTGTGTGTGTTTCTGGATTTGTCCCTGTCTATTATTGTACCTGACCCCACCTGACTCCTGAAATACATGCCCAACAGCTTTCCACTGAGGTTATGTGGCCTTCAGCCTGAAGACATTCCCCAAGCCCTGGGCTATTAACTTTCATTTAAACCACTGAAAATTCAGGTAGGTTTTTGGGATGCACCTGAGATAGTTACTCTGATAAGGTAGGGTTGCCATATTTAAAAAAGCTTTTTTAAAGTTGTTGACAAAGCTCTGGCTTTTGGAAATTCCCCCTGGACATCAATTTCACCTTTGAAGTCCCAGTAATGTCCGGGGAAATCTGGACGTATGGCACTCTCCCATGGCAATAGCTCTGGAAAGCAAAGGCTGAAGGCATTTAAACAGCTGCCTGAAACACACAAAGTTAGAGAAACATGTGAAGCCTGCCCCCTGCCCTGCAGCTGCATCTCTATGTGAAGAAAGAAATTTTACTGGTGGTCTTTCTGCTGTTGAAGAAAAAGGCAGAAAATAAGAGGCAGGAGTGGGAACCCCATTGGTCCTTGATGCATTTGCTGGACACCAAGTCCCATCTGCCCCAGGCAGCATGGTCCAATGGTCAGGGATGGTGGGAGTTGCGTAGGCCAATACCATCTGAAGGGCTTCATGTTCCCCATCCCTGGTCTAGTAGAATAATTCCGTTTGGATGCATGAGGTCTCAAATCCAATTTCTGAACAAGTCCTTCTGGGGTAGCAGCAGCAGGATTTAATGGGGATGGGCTACAGTTTGGTGGTAAAATACAGATCTTGAATGCAGAAGGTGCCCAGTTTAATCCCTGCTATCTTCTGGCAAAAAAGTTCTCTAGCAAATTGTATTGAGAAAGACCTGCCATTCAACTCAGATAGTTCTAAGCCAGATGAACCAATGTCTCAGTGCATTCAGGCTGCCTTGTGGGGACAGCTGAGAAACAAGGCTCATTCCATCAGCTTGACACATTTGTACCCAATCAATTGTCCTTAGTTGCTCCAACCAGCAGAGAATATGGTCCTCAAAGGCATTTAGTCTACACCAGTATCTAAGATAGGACGTGGGTGGCGCTGTGGTATAAACCACTGAGCCTCTTGGGCTTGCCGATCAGAAGTTCGGTGGTTCAAATCCCGCGACGGGGTGAGCTCCCGTTGTTTGGTCCCAGATCCTACCAACCTAGCAGTTTGGAAGCACGCCATAAAAGTGCAAGTAGATAAATAGGTACCACTCCAGCGGGAAGGTAAACGGCGTTTCTGTGTGCTGCTCTGGTTTCGCCAGAAGCAGCTTAGTCATGCTGGCCACATGACCCGGAAAAACTGTTTGCGGACAAACGCCGTCTCCCTTGGCCTGTAAAGCGAGATGAGTGCCGCAACCCCAGAGTCATCTGCGACTGGACTTAACTGTCAGGGGTCCTTTACCTTTACTTTTAGTATCTAAGATAAGCTAGATCAAATCTGGCTGCTGATGAGGGAAGACCCAAATCAGCTCTAAGATGAGCCAATGGAGTCCCAGGAGGAAGCCCCAATATCTGACTCATAAATTTA